AGCCCAGGTTGCCCAAAGCCCCGTCCAACCTGGCCTTGAACCCTTCCAGGGAGGGGGCAGCCACAGCTTCTCTGGGCAGCCTGTGCCAGGGCCTCACCCCCCTCACAGGGAACAATTTCTGACTTAGATCTCATCTGAACCTACCCTCTCAGTTTAAAACCATTCCCCCTCATCCTATCCCTACACCCCCTGATGACAAGTCCCTCCCCCCGTTCCTGCAGCCCCTTTCAGCCCTGGGGGGCCGCTCTAAGGTCTCCCCGGAGCCTTCTCTTCTCCAGCTGAACCCCCCAACTCTCCCAGCCTGTCCTCACAGGGGGGCTCCAGTCCCCCCAGCATCTCCGTGGCCTCCTCTGGCCCTGCTGGAGCAGGTCCGTGTCCTTCTGCTGTTGGTGCCCCAGAGCTGGACCCAGCCCTGCAGGGGGGTCTCCCAGAGCGGAGCAGAGGGGAGAATCCCCCCCTGGCCCTGTGCCCACCCTGCTCTGGGTGCAGCCCAGCACATGGGGCCTTTCTGCGCTGCCAGCACACATTGCTGGCTCATGTTCAGGTTTCCATCCACCAAACCCCCCCAAGTCCTTCTCCTGGGGGCTGCTCTCCATCCCCTCCTCGCCCAGCCTGGGTTTGTGCTGGGGATTGCCCCGACCCCTGGGCAGGACCTTGCCCTTGTTGAACTGTACGGAGTTTGCACTTCCCACCTCTCCAGCCTGTCCAGGTGCCTCTCGATGACATCCCTTCCCTCTAGGAACTCAACCATGCCACTCATCCAGGTGTCACCTGCAAACTCAACCCCACCGTGCCACTGATGACCATACTAAAGAGTACTGGTCCCAGTACAGACCCATCTTGTTACTAGTTGCCACTTGGGACGTTGAGCTGTTGTCTGTAACTCTTTGGGCCCGGCCAGCGGTTCATTCTCAGGAGGATAATTACAGCTGCTTTCACCCTGACCACAACCATCTACAGAAGAAACACAGCCGGGCACAGATGAAACCTTTCAGAGGGAGTTTTAATCACAGGTAACACTCCGGCATGTCGGCACCCTCCCAAATCTTACCACCACGGTGTGCTACGAACAGAAAAATCAATCCGGTATAAATACAAATAGCAGCTTCATAGCACATTATACTCTTTCCAAATGGAAGTCAACACTTTCTGAGCCCGGTGTCTCAGCATCTAAACCCAGAGAAGCATCAGGGTATCACAGTTATAAGGCAGCTACCAAAGCACAAGCTGAATCTACGCTGTTGGGTCAAAAAGTGAGTTGGTTTGGTTATTTTTGCAGGACACATGAGGTTTCTGTCCCCAGTGGCATGCAGGGAGGAGAGCCTGGGGCTAACTAACAGCACAGGCAAACCTAAAGGTGTCACATAGTAGTCAAGGTTTCCAGAGGCCCTAAGAAATCAGCAGGGTTTTTTTCTTTTCCTCTCTTATGCTTCGCTACCTATGGATTTAGGTGCTGGCTTTAGGTTTGAAAATAAAAACCTTGGCCTTAAAAACCTTGATTTCAAAACAATCAGTGCTCCAGCCACCCCCACGCCAGGGAACAGGACATTCACCAGCCTCCGAGCTGCCCAAAGCTGGTCCTCAAGCAAGCCCAAGTCAGCAGAGACCCCCCCCAAAACTCAGTTTACATTGGCTCCCGCTCAAGTGCACGGGACAGGCACTAGCTTCTTGCAAGGGCCTGCAAGATCACTTGTTCCCCCGAAGAAAGATGGGAAGTGATGAAGAGGGTGTGTGAAAGCTCAAATAACTTCTCAAGGTCTTCAGCATTTGGCTGGTTTTTGTTTTTTTTTTAATCAAGAGGTAGAACAGATACTTCATGCTCATGCTTGTTCTAAACGTGATGCAACTGCTGCGTTACTCATCTGCAGGTGCCACCTTCCAGAGGACACAGAGGTCTTTGTTTGCTGCTGCTAAGTTTAGGGCAGCTCTTGGGGTTTGTGCTCTTGTACAAAGTCTGAAGATATTAAAAAAATTTAAAAACCAACCTTCTTTGTGTTTGGTGTCTTCCCTTCTCTGCTGCTTCTTCACACTGAGAGCTGCAACCAACAGGACAAACTCTTCCTCCACGCGTGGAGGGGAAGGGTGGCTCCTCTCCACCTCATCCGGGGAAAGCAACGGCTGCTGGGGTTACAAGGAGTTAATTCTTCAGTGCCACAAGGCTTTTTTCCAAGGCATCGGCTTCAGTCACACCTTGTTTTTCCTGGACAAACTTCACATAGTTGGAGAAAAGCTGCTACGATCAAGCTCCCCACTCGCGAGCCGACCTTAAGAAGCCTGGCCAGCAGCAACCAGCAGCACCCAGGAGCGAGGCCGACTGTCCAAAAGATGATTTTCACGGATGAAAGCACAGCCCTGTTCTCAGCTGGGCTTCCCTGAAGCAGCAGGGTTATTTCAGACCGCTCCCCTTGCTGCTGGATCCGCAGCAAAGCTGGCAGAGAAACCCACAGGATAGGGGACGTGGCCCAAAATGTTCAACTGGGTTTGCAGTTTGGAGAGCCCAGGAAGGGGACAGATGAAAGCAGGACTGGCCTGGTGGGTTTGGGTTTCTTTGAGTTGGATTCATGCCCTGATTTGACATTTGGATTAAAGGGTAAAGTCAAGTAATTGCCAGAATCTGACATAAAAATAAAGCAGAGGGTGTAACCCAAGTAGAGTCAGTTAAGGAGTTTCACTTAGTAATACCCATGATTCAGCCAGACTCTCTCATTCCCAACAATCCCTAAACTCTTTACAAACCCACAGGTCCTTCAACTGCCACCGAAACAGAAAAGACACCCAGTGCCTATAAACCAAGTGTCAATTGGGCGTTTGGGATCTTCCAAGTTTTTCAACCCAAAACAGAGAGAAGTCATGGCCAGAAGGTACAACACCCAGGCGAGATGCTTAAAACTGCCAGAGATAAGGTCCTCGAGATTTTCTTTCTTACACATGTATGAAACAGAACACAACCAGAGAAAAAAATAACCAGAGCAGGACTCTCTCGGGGACAGCCACAACTGCCTTTCCCAATGGATGGTGCAACCAGAGGTGGGAAGGGGCCTCTGGGATGTCTTGCGGGTGATTCGGAACCACACGCTTCTGTGGCTCCCGTCATTCAGGGCTTAGCAGATGGGGATGACTCTCCAACAACCTGCCACGGCCTCTTGTGTTAGTAAACGGAGCTACTCTCAGCAATTCACACGCTGAGAGACACTATAATCCAAATTTGAGCTCCTGTGTAGCCCCCCCAGCCCCGCTGGTTAGGGCAATGTTATCTCCAAAACTTCTAATTCTCATCAGAATTCGAGATGGCTGCAGTGATTCCCAGCTCTCCAGCCTATACCCGCGGCAAGAATGATGCTGCTACTCGTGCAGGAGCTGCTAACTGCTGCAAAAAGGGCAGCCTGAGATATTACGGGAAGCCAAAATACTGCATTGGTTTAATCTGGCATCTACTCTGCCTTTACTCTGAGCTGAAAAATGCAGTAACTCAGAAGATGCTTCACAACCAGCTGAGAAATCCCTGAAGGATTAAAAGAACCAAAGGCTAGAGAGGTTGGATAAAAGCTTAAAAAAGAATCTCAATCTCAGTTTTCACCTGCGGTTTAGAAACCCAGAAACACACAAGTAAACACCCATCGGATCATCAACAGCCACGGCATGATCCAGCCACCAGCCTCAGGACCACAGCACACAGGGGAAGGGCTCGGGTGGTTTTTGCAGCTTGCTGGCTCTCAAAGGACTTTCCCAGAACACTTCTCCCTCCAGAAATGGATATAACATGCAGATGTCTTGAAAAAAAATGTTACTATTTGCCACAAAATAAAGAGATGCTCAGCTCTTGGTAAGTCCTTCCTGCATGCGTCGATCAGCAAGACCTCTTAAAAGAGATTTAAAAAAAAAAGTGACCAAACTTTAGGACTTAGCAGAGAGGTGACTTAAGAGAGAGGAAAAAAATAAAGATGACATAAATAGGAACTTGTAATTTTATTCTCAGTTGTTCCGGGAGTCTTTTGTTTTTACATTGGAAACTTGGACTTTACCGTTTCATTATTTCACCAGCTTAAGAAATGTTAAAAAAGCAACCTAACAAGGGATTTGAATTTGAACCAAAAGGGAAGGTTTTCACCCCAGATTACCGAGAGGTGCACTTTCCTAATACGTATTTATCTGTAACAACATGCATTTTGGGCAGAGGAAGCTTTTCTTGAAAGATACAATAGACAAAACCTTCATCCTACCAATCACGAGGACGAATCCCACAATAAACATCTCTAGGGCTTCCCTGAGCTTCTTGGCAATTTCACATTTCTGAAACTTTAAAACACAAAAACCAGAATTATAAACAGACAATCCCCCAAACAGCAGGATCTCAAGGTTTTTTTTTTCTGTCCAGCTCTATATGATACATCACAGCAAAAAAAAAAACAACAACAAACCAACAAAGGGGTGCTGGGGGAACAAACCTAACCAAAAATTAAAAAAAAAATCAAAAAGTGATTTGCTGGTCACCATTAAAGTGCATTCAGCTCCACCTCAGCTCTTCAACCCTGTGCCTACCTTATCTTCCCTCTCCCTCCCAAGGCTGAGCCCCACGTGCTGGCTGGGGGAGCCCGAGGCCTTGCAGGCAGCAGGTAAGTGACTGCTCTCACTCATTTGTTCACAGCATGAAGGACGTTGAGAGCCCTGAGTTAGCTCGACGCCACATTAGAGAGCAGATTTTGTAACATTTGCTGTCAGTCAGAGCAGGAATTTGTTCTCATCACAGTGCTAAAACTTGCCATGGGGGCATCAGGGAGCAACATCCCCTTAGGGCCACAATATCCTGCAGGCTGCTGCCTTCAAACAACACGTAATGTCTCACCTGGAAGGCAGATGACAATGTTGGCTCTGCTCCTACAAACGTCACCCTGAAGGTTTAAATCACTGAAGGACAAAGCCTGCTGAAGCCGACGGATCCCAGCACAACGCTCAGCAGCACACGACTCAGGGCTGGCTCCCGCTGCCAACCTCTGGAGAGGCTCCAGCATTGAAAGAGAAACTCAAGAGGGGGGAAAATAAAAATAAAATCTCAAAACACAAGGCAGAGCCCAGCCCTCCTATTGCCTTTCACGTGTGGGTATACACCACAGG